GCAAGTTTACTCATAAATGTAAGTGTTATATAAGTTTTAATAAATAAATATCAAATATCTAAGAAAGAGAAAATCATCTTCTCTTTCTCTTTTCGGTGCAATTAGAATTATACCAAATTGTCTGACACGACAAGAGAGTAAAGTTCTTTTCGGGTCAATTTTCTAACTGATACTAAAATATCAAATAATTCAGAACAAATAAATCATGGTACCAAATCAACTTGTGAACTCACCAATAGACCTTTTTCTTTCAAATATAAAACAGCAATAGAACACGAATTGGTCGAAGTTCATAATCTTAGACATTTCTCTCTAGTTGTTCAATTTGGCAAATGCAGTACGAGAAAAGAAAAGACTGTTACATAAATAAATAAATAAGACGTGAAAAGTACGTGTACAGTGATAGGAAGGTATTATTTGGGAAGAAATATTGAAATGATATATTATATATGATTTATAAGTTTGGGTTGGAGTAGTAAAATATTAGACGTATAAGATGAGAGTTTCGTCACTACTTACGTTGCAAGGGTCCATTAAAATGACGTGCATAAAATGTGGAGAGTGTGTGGGAGATGATTTATAGTGATTACCCAATACTCATCTAAAACCATTGGAAAAGTCAAATTTTGCGTACAAAGGAAGTGTGGAATAATGCCGATACTGGATCGTGTGGTCCCTCTCAAGATTCTATATAATAAAAACTATGGTAGTTGATGGAGTACATGGTTTTAACCTTACATGGGGCGAAAGTGACAATGGAGAAAAACCATGAAATCCATACATAGACTCGGAAAGATTACAAGTGTGTGCCACCTTTGCATTTCTCACTATGCAATGGTCAAAAAAGAAAGATATTTATACATACACACTACACTTGTATGGCTTTGAATTATACAATTTTGGTTAAAAATTAATCAATACGTAATTATTTAAGACGTACATTGTATTTTTTTTTTCTTTCAATTTGAATATTCAAAATGTAATCTACCAACAGCAGGCGTGTAACATGCACACAATGCGATGGTATAATTAATATCCATCAACTTTAGACTAAATAGAGATGTATATGAGTTGCTTCCGGTTCCATCGTTTTCCTTTTTGGTGGGCGCGGGTGTTTATTGCAAAAGGAAAATAGAATACTGGCTTTTTCTGACAAAATATAAATGTACCCAAAATCTAGTGTTTGCTTATTTTTGCCATTGTGTACAAAATAGGAATCTTTTTTGAAGTTATAATTAGAAAAAAACAGAATGTGAATTTCTTTATGTGGTAAAAGAGTGTTCCACGTTGAATTCAATAACATATCCTCTCCGAGCTAATACTTGTTGACAAGCTGTCTAAGCTCAATAATACCCAACACTGCATTCAAAGTACTTTTTTTTTGGAAAAAAATTGTTCATTGTTTTTTTTTTTACTTTAATTATGTTGAAATTCGTAGAAAATAACAGGTGTACTGAAAATGATATGTGATGGATTAAGGAATGTCATTTCATGAACGGTGTGTTAGAGAATTGTTTTCTGAACAGACGGTGTTTCGGTTGTAGGGTTAAGAATCTTTATAAAATACTTGTATACACATAAGACTTTATATTGATAAAATATTGTTTATTTTGGGTGAAATTCTCACAAATTTATTTTTGATACTACTTTAAAATATCTCTTACTAAAAAAAGTACTTTATATATATATAAACTCATATCCTTTTATTTTATTCAATGTAAAATTTTGATTGTATCCAATCGTATATACAGAATTACAGATAACATTACAATTAAATGAGAGTATATAATATCTAAAAGTATTAGAACTCGGTATAAATAAATAAAAAAATCCTTATTATGTCTTAAAGTTTCTATAGTCACTAGCTACGGAAGTACTATGTTAACTCTGCGAGAAGCCTAATTGGTCTTGTTCCCATGAGAATTTTCGAAGGCATCGCTGTCCACCTCCATCATCATCCAATATTGGTTGTTTGCTTATTTTAGTGTCATAATGATGGAGATCCCTTCAAACTTTATCATGCATGTACATATTTCGAAGACTGGTTGTTCACTACACAAAATGCTATCATACTTACCTGTCAAAACACTTTATCACAATCCTCTACCAGCCTTCTTAACTTTCCAATGATTTAATTTTGGCAATGGTGAAAACCTTGAAACTGTGTGAGAAAGACACGTAACTTCATAAAAAAACGCATTTCGTTTTTAAATTTGAAGAATTGAATTCTGTTAGTGTTAAATATAGCACTGCCTCGTTACGAATGACTCTGTAACTTTAAACCCGTACCGTACTTAATTCGCGAACAGCATCAAGATGTATATACGTTGAATGGGACAACGTAAAGAGGTATATATATAAAGTGCATGTGCAACCTAGCCCAAACAAAAATCACGTTCAATTCTGTATTAAAAGATATCGACAGAACACGATGCACCTAACAAAATGTTTGTGTTGGATTCATCTCCAATTATGTATCTCATTTAGAGAGAAAATAAATAAATACAATGGAAATAAATAAGAAATAAGTAATGTAGAAATGTGAAGGAAAGAAGTAACTAACGTGGGTGAAATTAAAACTAAAATTTATGTTTAAAGCGATGAGAAGTGACAGAAGTGGATGGGTTTGAGTTCAGGACCCCATAACACGTTATAATTGATGGGTTTGATTTAATGTTTTTTTCGAATAGCAAATGAATCTTGTCAGGTCAACCACCTGTGAGAGAGCGTTCTATTTTATTATATGGTATTAAAAAAATAAAAGAAACTCAAGGAAAACGTGTAGTGGGGCTGAACCACCCACACTCACTCGCTACACTCAGATTTCGAAAAACGACAGCTCCTGAACATGTGGACGGTGAAGATGGTTGTGCTTCCCACAAGCACGTGGCCAGCCAATGGAGTTCCTTCAAATGGATAACGACGTCATCGCAACGTTGTCGTTTTCGCTGCACCGTCCTTTACTGTGTCTCACTACAACAACGCTTCTCACTCTTCTGCACTATTATATTACTGCCCTCGAGGTGTGCCTCTGGACGGTGCCACGTCACCCCTGCTTATGCATTCACCATTTAAAAAATAAATAAATAACTTTATTTTTCTAAATTATTGCTCTCCTCACCAAATTATTTGATTTCACCACCATCAATCATTTCATCACTTTTAATTATTCCACTTACCGTATTTCCCCTTCAATTTCATTAAAATATTCATGCTTTACAAATATTTATATTCTATTTTTTTCTTTTTAATTCTGTTCAAAAATAATCTGTTATATATATTCTTCATTATATATTTGTTTGGTCAGTTTCGGGGTAAGAAAAATACAACTGCTAAAATGAAACAGAAATATTTGTCAAAATTTGGAAGGAAAAAAAGTCGTTGAAATTTGAAACTGTAAATTATCTGATTTTTTCTTTTCCCTTCCAAGAAAATTACAATCTTTTTCTTTTTAAAACTCAGTTAGATAAATTTTTTATTGAATTTTATAAGATTAATATAAATGACAACAAAAATAATATGAGCTGAGGAATGGTGGTGTACTTGTAATTAAATTGTTGGAAGATGTTTATCAAGTTAAAATGAATAATTATTATTTTAAGTCATGTCACCTGATGGTTGCGGGTCCTTCAGGAGATATTTTTTTCATGAGGTAAGTACAGCCCGTTACTATATAAAATTAAACAGTAACGCATTATTAATTACTGTTGAAAATACAACCGTAACTGTCTGATTTTTTATTTATTTATTAGGATATTTTATAACTTTTTATGAAAAATATTAGTTTTATTTTATATAATTTTTAATATATGAAAACAGAATAATTAAATATTATTTATTGTGTATCATATTAACGTTGGAAGAAAATGGTTTAATTATATATTATTAAATATTTTAAATACTTACCTTAAGTATACACAGAATGTGATTTTATTTTAAATTAGGAGTGGATCTCTTACTACTATTCGTTAATTTAATTTTTGTTCTCATCTCTAATTTTCTATTGCTATATTTTTTTTTCTTTGCCTACAAAATGTTGGGGAAATTGAAGAATACGAGAAGAGGGTGTTGTTATTGCATAAGAGAGATAAGAAAGATGATATTTAAGCTTTTTTACTAAAATGACCCTCTATGCAATCCGAGATTAGCACTAGAAATGTGATCTTACATGCTCTTGATCTTTGTTTTTAACATCACCTACACAGTTATTGGTCAATGTTGGTATTTCTTATTATTATTAGTACCTTGTTGATGTATCTTTGTTGCTTCTAGATGTCCAACCAACGAAAGTGAAAGATACTTGCGAAAATACTCTGACACTCAAGTCAGAGTTATGGAACCTCAGCTCTCAAGAGAGTATAAAATATTATCTAGTGTGAATAGAAAGTACCTGGACTTTGATCCTGTCGTTATATTTATAAGCCAAATAAAAATTACCTTACTTGAAAATCGGGTTAGTTACTCATAAATATCTTAACTGTTTAAAATATCTTTAACCAAATATTTTATCCAATAAATATCTTTAATCATACTACACGATTATTAACTTGCTACAGAACAAAACTCAAATATAAAATAAAGTTAAAATGCATCAACAATAATTAATAAAAACAAATATCTTGTTTACCTACACAATTTTGTCTATAATTATATTTAAATAAAGTATTATTTTTTCCTTATCGTATGAAGCCTCCAATATCATTAAAAATGTCTAATAAAATTATATTAACAACTTTTTCAAACCAGCCATTTTTATCCTAAATACATTATTACTCCAAGGTATATGGTCTATTCATTTCACCTAAATAAATTATTGATATATATACATTGATAATATAAAACAAGAAAAAAACATCAACATTGAATTATTAACACGTAAGAAGTTGCGTATGCAAAGACGGAAGTTAAGTAGTGATATACAAAATGAGAAGAAGTTAGTAGGAAAGAAGGTGAGTGATTTACCGGGACAATGAAAAACATTTCTCAGCGTTTCATTAGGTCATGAATGTATCTTCCTGGAATGTATTGACCGTGTTGGTGACGTAATAGCGCGTCACCCACAACAGCGGTGACGTACAATTATGTAACTGCCGTTGACGTTACAGTCCCCCCTCCCTTCACTTTCTTTATATTTCCATCTCTGCCCCCTTTACTCCTCCCTCTTCCACACCTTTCTCTCCTCCTCTTTTCTCTCTCTACCATGCACCAAGCCATTCCCTACAGAACTTGCATCCCTACCGGCGCACATGACCGGTCACACGCCGGAGGGACCGCGGGATCCAATGGCGCTGATCCAGCCAGCGTGGCCACAGTGGTTTCAGAAAACGCCGTCGTCATCATTGGGAGACGGGGCTGCTGCATGTGCCACGTGGTCAAAAGGTTGTTACAAGGCCTTGGAGTCAACCCTCCCGTTTATGAGGTCCACGAGGACCACGAGGCTGCCGTTGCTCGCCACCTCTCCCCTCACACCGCCGAAGCACTCCAGTTTCCGGCGGTCTTCCTCGCCGGCAAGCTATTCGGGGGCTTGGAACGAGTCATGGCCACTCATATATCAGGTGAATTGGTTCCCATATTAAAGGACGCTGGTGCCTTGTGGCTCTGACTAATTTACCTCTTTTTTTCTTTAATTTCTTGAGAGGGAAATTAATCACATATAGAAATTTTTTCTTAGATTGATTTCCCTTTTTTCTTTCTTCTTTCTCTAAGTCTCTTGGATTGGCGAGAGAAACTCCGTTGTGTTGTGAATAACTGCGTCGTGTTGAGAAGCGAAGAAATTCTGTACATTATGTTTAAGTTAGTTAAATTTGACGTACAAGTTCATCTTGAATCTTGAGAATCTCTTACAAAACCATATTCTAACTGTTCTCGAGTCACCTATTTATTCTAGAGGGAAACAAATGACAAGAATAACTAAGAGGTAAATGTGCTGCGTTAACTGGTTGTATTATGAATATAATTTGATTTTTTTTTTAATTAGAGTAGTTTTCTTGTTTTAGAATTTTAATTAATTTGTGTTTTTCTCAAATGAGGTGCCGGATCTATTATTTTTTGGTTTTTGGGATGAGAGAATGAGATGTCGTGAAAATATTAGTTTTGAATGTTACGGGGACATGAAGTTGATGATATTGGATCCGAATGAATTGGACAGATGGATAGGAGAAAAGGAGACCAGGTCAATCGAACCCAGTATTGCATATAAGAAGTACCAAATTTACATCTTTTTTTTTTTTTTTTATTATGGGTCAGGAGAAGGAGACGTCTTCTCTTTCTAACCGTGCATTATTAAGAAAATTAATTTTTATTAACAGAGAGCGTTGAAGATTTATTAAGGTTGAGTTACAAATTCTCTTACGAAGATGGTATTCAAAGAGTTTTTCGTATCACCCGATATCGAAACATCATCCATGTTTACTTTCATACGAAAAATTGTTAAATTTTAATTTTAATCATAATTAATGATATCTGTCAATGAAAATTTTCAAATATAATTTCATCTACCGTTGACGAAAGATGGTTGAAATTTTCATTTTTACTTACCAATTAGTGTTGATCAGATCTCAACAAGAATAATAGCAATTTGAGTTGCAATTAGTTGTTAATTTTGGAAATAATATTATAAGGTTATCAATGTATAGAATTTAAAAGCGACTGCTCTAAACAAAAGTAACGCAGCAAGAAAAAAAATATTATCAAATTATTTGTTTCATTTCGGATTAAATATGATTTCTCTTTCAAACTTTGATATATTTTTATTTATCTCCTTTTAAAAACTTTTAAACGTGGTCCTCTACGACCAACAATATTAGTTTTTTTTTACATTAATAGCCGTGTGTCATATGATTAGCTACCCATAAAACATGTGACTACCACATTTTATTTGATGAGGTGCGAATTGTCCAGAAAGAGACAGTCACATTATAGTTTTCCTTATTCACCGAAGATTAGGATTTTTGAAGATTAGTGTTTCCATGCTTGTAGAGGAGAATGGTTAGGGGTGGTTCGACATAGTGACTGACTTTGGAGTTTTCGTCTTCATGTATATTCTGATTGCATGCTTTGGGTGGCTTAGTCTATAATTAGTACGATGTTAAAGATGGTAAAGACACAAAGCAGTTGTTCAAGATTAAGATTTTAATTTAGAAGTTGTTTAATGTTGTTGGACACACGTGTTTGAATTTTGTATTGTTATAATTAAAAAAATGAAGTAACTTAATGAAATTAATTTCAACTTTTAACTATAATAATTTAATATTTAAATTCTAAAAATCATATTTTTTTAATAAAAATATGATTAAATATATATGTAGTTCTTGAATTTTGAAATAAAATTAAAATTCGTTTTAACATATTTTAATTTTAAAATTAGTATATATATATAGTTCTTTTGCGAACATATTTAAGATATTTTCCAATAAATATTAAAGTAAAACTGTATTAAAGTATAAATAGTTCAAATGATACTTAATTTATATTTCAAAATACCATTAAAATTTTAATTTTGTGCTGATAAAGAAAGAGTTAATTAAGAAAATTACACCAGTTCATACAATTTTCATGGTGTCAAAATCTTTACATATAACTATTTAAGAATGTTAACTTGTTCATTCAATTTATTTTTTACATTTTTAACCCAACCAAGTAAAAAGACAACATACCTGTCCAAAAATGAAAAAGTCTATATCACAATGAATATATCGAAGTCTCAAACTATATTAAATTATATACATTTAATAAAATATTATTTTCAAACTATTTTAAATTATGATTGTTGTGCCACCTAAATCGATTTAGAGATGAATTAAACTTAAATTTAGTCCATTTTACGGAATTCTTGTACCGCGAGGCTGTGAATCTTGCCGCTGAGATTTCGACCATTTGAACGAGACAGCAAAAACTATGTTAGGATGCAAATGACTATGCGGTCCTGGCGTTTAATGGTTTCATCACAAGAAGTACAGGGTTAAAAAAGTCCTTTTAAAGTCTTTCTCTCCAAGTTTAAACCTTGGTCCTTTTGAATTTGCCTGTTTTCTCAACACATGACAGGTATCTGAGAAAGAACTTGACGAAAATGATGAACTTTTTCAGTCGAAGAAGGGACAATGCGGCCGATTCCTCACCGTTGGTGACTCCTTCTTCGTCGCCGGTGACGGGTCCGGCGAGGCCAATTCGCCTTGTCTATTGCGACGAGAACGGACGGTTTCGCATGGACCCGGAAGCGGTAGCCACACTCCAGCTCGTCAAGGAGCCCGTCGGCGTGGTCTCTGTGTGTGGTCGCGCGCGCCAGGGCAAGAGTTTCATTCTAAACCAGGTGAACTTTCAAGTGAGGTCAATAAATGATTTTTCCTTTGGGGTTTAGGGATTAATAATACCTTGTAGTTTACAGGCATTTTACGTAACCATTGGTAAGGGCGTTCCGTGCTGTTAGAGATGCTGTATAGGTTTAATAACTGGGGTTTTTAAGTTTTACCTACGCATGGATGTAATTTTAAGTTAATTGGCTTTTTAAAAGACTTGGATTTCATAGGGTGTCCAAGCCCTATCTATGAGATGCTCGTTAGAGTGGGTTCTCTAAGTAAGCCATACTTAGCAATAGTTCTTAGATTGTGTGTCGTTTCTAGAATTATTGAAATGTATCACTTTGTTAGTAGGTGTTTGTCTGCCTAATGAGACGCTGTCTGTTGTGTCTGCTGTGTTTTATGGATTGTAAGTATGGACGAGAAAAAGTCGTGAACCACTTTTCTTGCTAGGTAAACTCTCTGGCTTTGATTTTAAAGTGAAGGAAAAGGGTGATGGATTCTATACATAAGGTTTGAAGCTCATGCTATATGATCAATGAAAACACCCCGTCGAAAAACCATTTTATTGTTGTTTTTAATTACATATTTTGCCTCTTAACAAAATGTTATTAGCTCTAATGCTTGTATGTTTATCAGTAAGAATGGGGAATGTTTTTTGGCTTTGCGTTTCCTCTCACCTTCTTGGATATGATTTATCAGAGTGGAATGCGATTGAAAGAAACTACCTAGTATAGAGAGAAAGTGAGAAAGCAGAAGAAAACATCGGAGAGAATTTCAGAATGAAATGTGTTTGAGCTTATTCATCTGAAAAGTTTTCCTTACAATGTTCCTATTTTATACATCTGAGAGATTACTTTTCCTTATTATGCAATCTAACAGGTCAGTTACAGTTGGCATGCTAGCCAGCTTTCATGCTAACTCTCCATGTAGTAATTACCTGCTTGCATGAGATGAGACTCAGTCATTCTGAGTAACTACTTTTTGCACAACTTCTTTATCAGTCTCGTGGTAAAAATTCAGAATTTGCTCATTATATCGTAGCTTCTTGGGAGGACTAGTGGATTTCATGTAGCATCAACGCATCGTCCATGTACCAAAGGGCTTTGGTTGTGGAGTACACCGTTGAAGAGGACTTCCCTTGATGGAACAGAGTACAATCTCCTGCTATTAGACAGTGAAGGAATAGATGCTTATGACCAAACGGTTAGCTTGGATTACACATGCTTGTTAATAGTTTCTGTCTGTTTGGTGTTCCAATCACTGGATTTTGGATATATATGCTAACTATTGTAGTATTACGTTAATGCCTTTTGTATTCAGTTTCTTGTGTATACGTAGGTAGCCATTTCCATCCGTTGTGATGTTCTTTCCTTCTTTTTCTCTGTTTTTCTTAATGTACAGGGAACATATAGCACCCAGATCTTCTCATTGGCTGTCCTTTTGTCTAGCATGTTTATTTATAACCAGGTTGGGTTAACTTATAAAATCTTATATTTACGTATAATTGAGTGTGCTTTTACTTCTGCATACTTTTTGATTTTGATAATTTAGTGACCAGTTTGTTGATCCACTCGTGAAGATACAAATTCATTCCCTATTTTCTCTTTTGTAGATGGGTGGTATCGATGAGGCTGCTCTTGATCGACTTTCTCTTGTCACTCAGATGACAAAGCACATTCGTGTTAGAGCATCTGGAGGGAGGAATTCGGTGTCTGAACTGGGTCAATTTTCCCCTATTTTTGTCTGGCTTCTAAGAGTGAGTTGAATACAAACCTTTTGTCATTGTTTCACCTCATATTTTGGGAAACTTGAAATTCTTAATTTCTGACCATGTGTCCTTATGTCATTTTAGCCTACTTCTGTTGTCTAGTTTCAGTCTTTACCTTATTTCTCTTTCCTCTTGCTAGCAGGACTTTTATTTGGACCTAGTAGAAGATAACAGAAAAATAACACCCCATGACTATCTGGAAATTGCTTTGAGGCCTGTCCAAGGGAGTGGAAGAGATATAACTGCCAAGAATGAGGCATCTTTCTACTTCCTTTTTTTTTATTAATTTTCTTCAGGAATTATTAATGACTTACAAGGCTTACCTGTCTGAACATGATCCTTAAATAAATTGGAAATACTTGGCTTGGTATGAAATGAAATTAGTAGAGACATGCAAAGGATGAATAATTTTATTGAATGCTTAAGAATAGAAGAAATATTTTTCTCCTTCACAAAGGGTTTCTGCTTTCTTACGAACTTTCTGATTATCTGAATGAAATGAATCTATCAGTTCAAGATTTAGTTTTGATGAATTACTAGAGCAAAAAATGCACTCAGCAGGACATATGCTTTATATACATTTCAGAAATAATTACATTTATGTAGAGTAAATGTATGGTAAGTGGAATCTTATGAGGACAATATAAGCAATATTCATGAATCTCAATATTCATGAATCTAGACTTTAGTGCAGCAATTCCCAATGGATAAATACCTGTTTCGAATCTTCCATCCGTAATATTTATTTAATTGATGTGCTCT